ACTGTCCAAATCATCAATTGGCACATTCACCATGACAACACCTTCACAAATCAGAGTCCACTTGCTGAAACTGTGTCTCATGCAATATAAAAGTGAGTTTTCCTCTCAAATTGGTATTCTTGCAAATGGTTTTGATGAATGCAAGTTAAAAGCTTTGACAAAAATGTATTTTTTCAGCAATACTCAAGGTTTTAAGATTTGTATCTAAACAGACACTAAGTTTGGCATGGTAAGAAGTATATACAATCAACAGATCTGCTGCTGGTTAGGGGAAAGTATTATTACTTAAGGCAAAAAGAGTTGGGAGGGCAGATTCCACTTACTCCTACCAATGAATATATACATGACCTCAAAAGAACAATGGAGAAAATTGGTCTCCCATTGGATTTTTACATCTGTTCAGAGAGAAAAAGAGCACTGTAATTTTGAACTCCCCTACCCTGCGAAAAAGACATTGGCTATTCACCCTATCCATGATTTTATAAGCTCTATAAGGTCATCCCTCAGCTGCCGATACTCCAGCCTATCAACATCTCCCTATACTCAAACTCTCCAACACCAGCAACATCCTTATAAATCTTTTCTGAACCCTTTCAAGTTTAACAACATCTTTCTTATAGCAGGGAGGCCAGAATTGAACACAGTATTCCAAAAGTGGCCTAGCTAATATTCTGTACAGCTGTAACATGACATCCCAACTCCTCTACTCAATGCACTGACCAATAAAGGCAAGCATACCAAATGCCTTCTTCACTACCCTGTCAACCTGTGACTCCACCTTCAAGTAACTATGAACCTGCACTCCAAGGTGTCTTTGTTCAGCAACAGTCCCCAGGACCTTATTGTTAAGTGTATAAGTCCTGCTCTGATTTGCTTTACCTACATGCAACACCTCACATTTATCTAAATTAAACTCCATCTGCCATTCATCAGCCCATCTGATCAAAGGTCCCACTGAGAACTTTCTTCACTATCCACTACACCACTAATTTTTGTGTCATACCAACCATTCCTCCAATGTTCACATCCAAATCACTTGTATAAATGACAAAAAGCAGTGGATCCAGCACTGATCCTCGCAACACACCACTGGTCACAGGTCTTCGGTCCAAAAAACAAGCCTCCATCACCACCTTCTGTCTCCTGCCTTCAAGCCAATTGATATAAATTAATTGATTTTACAGCCAAGTTGCATACAGTACATCTTAGCATGATTTACATTCCTTATTGTCTCATCCCTGAATTAATTATTCTATTGTTTGAATTAATCTGAAGCAGCAAATATTATTTACTAAATTTAAGATACTTTAAATTCTGAAAATTCTTGATAACCAATCTGATACTTTCAGGCAAAAAAAAGTGTCAAAAAAAATAGCTGGCTGACATCAATAAGAATATTAATGTATTTTTATTTATGCTCAGTAATCTACTTTGAAATCCTCCAATTCTGTTCAGCTTCCTGCCTTACATGGAATTAATTCTGAGTCAAATTCAGTAATATTTATTCAACATAGTAACATGTAATGTACAAAAAGTTGTGACAAGACTCAGTCAGCAAGCCTTGCATTAATTTGCAAAACTCAGTTATTCACAAATTAAAGTACAATCAAATCAAATGTAACCATTCATTTCCCACAGAATCTCACTACAGGTACTGAGGAAAAAAAAAGTGAAAGATAAAAACAGGGCAGAAAAAGAAATCCAGATATAGACGGTATTTTCTCCCTGGAGCTTGATAATTTGGGGTATCCTGGCTTTAACCATAAATGAATGGAGTTGCCCAATTTATTCTTTTGTGATAAAATCATGTTCTGTTGTTAAAGAACTTTTGATATTTGATTTTATTACTGTCAAGTGTACGGAGATACAATGAATAGTGTTATCTTATATGCTTTACAGACAGATCATACTATACAAATGCATCAGGGTATCAGAACAGAGCGCAGGTTACAATGTTACAGCTGCCAAGACAGATCAATATCAACATTAAAAGAGGTCCTTTCAAAAGTCTGACAACAGCAGGGAAGAAGCTGTTCTTGAATCAATTCGTGTGTGTATTAAAACATTTATATCTTCTGCCCAATGGAAGAGGGTACAAGACAGTATAACCGGGGTGGGAGGGATGTTTGATTGTGTTGGTTGCTTTCCGGATGCTGCAGGAAGTACAGATGGAGTCAACAGATAGGAGGCTCATCTGCATGATGAACTGGACTGTGTTCACAACTCTGTAGTTTCTTTCGGTCTTGGGAAGAGCATTTGGCATGCCACACTGTGATGCGTTCAGGTAGAACACTTTCTATAGTGCATCCATAAAAATTTGGAAGAATCTTTACGGACATGCCAAATATCCTTCGCTTCCTTGACCACACTGTCAAAGTGGGTGGACCAGGACAGATTGGTAATCGTTACTCCCAGGAACTTGACATTCTCAACAATCTCCACCTCAGCATCATTGATGCACACCAGGGCATGCCCTCCACTCTGCTTTATGAAGTCAAAGACCAGCTCGTTTGTTTCGCTGATGTTGAAGAGATTGTTGTCTTTACACCACGCCACTAAGCTCTTAATCTCTTTCCTGTATTTTGTCTCATTGTTGTTTGAGACCTGACCTACAACAGTGGTGTCATCAGCAAACTTGTAAATGGAGCTGTGTGGAATTTGGCCACACAGTTGAGAGCATATAAGGATTATAGTAGGGGGCTGAGTACACAGCCTTGCAGGGCACTGGTGTTGAGGATTATCGTGTCTCATGAATATAGCTCAGGTAATTAACCATCATGTTAAGCAAACTGCAAAAATTAAACATGTGATTTCTCACACCAAGTTCTATTCATGGATCTGACTTGTCCAGTATTATCATTAGCTGGGGTCATAACAATATACACTTCTACAGGTGAATGGTGATTGGGACAAATTCACTAATGGTAGACAACATCATGTGTTTCTTTTAAAAACTGTAGCTACAAAATTAGATATATGTGCCTTACAACTATATGAATTATATTTTATATTTAAATTCATTGAAATAGGAGCACAGTTATTATTAAACAAAATGTTACTGGAAAATAGAACAATTGGCTTGAGTACATGTTGGGTAACATCATTGCGACAGTGACTTGAACATTTACCGATCTGGTAAAAACACAAATATTCGCACCCAAACTCCACCTACTGCCACTCTTCCCACAGTCTCTGTGAGCTCCACAGAGCATCAGTTCCTACTTTCACTTCCAGATCAGCTTTCGGGTGGTCATTTCCACTGAGGATGGCAGTACAACTGGTCTCGGCACTCAATGCTAGAAGGGAGAACATCAACTCTGCTCCTGACCATTTTCCAGCAGCTTCTCCTAGAAGGGACCTGCTCATGTACAAATTGAGTTTGGCTTTTATACAGTCTTTGTATAAGCTTTTTAATCTAATGTATGAAGGATGGGCTCTTTGGAGAATTGCTGGAGTGCTGCCACACTGACTTGCATCTACTTTAACAGAGAAAAAGTGAGCCAGTTGAATAAAAAGTTATAGTCCCCTTCAGTGACGAGAAAAGGGGATAGAATGTGGGTGAGTGGAAATCCACACCAAGTTTTCAGCAAGAGGATCAAGCTATTTTTACTCCACTGTAGCCAGCAGGAAGGAAGTCAGATGCAGATGACAAAAATTAAAAGAAGAGGAGCCAAAAGTCATCAGGAGGCAATTGGAACTGTCCTTAATAAGTCAGGAAGGAGGGATACATAAGTTGAGAAAGCATGAGGGCACTCTTGCACCCACTTTAGCTGCTGGTTTATGTCAACATCCATCTAAGCTAGAGTCCTAAAGTGTCAATGGTTATAAAAGTCTCACCTGACCATATCCAGCTGAGCCAGGAACTCAAACCAAAACACCCAGTGTTGAGAAAGGCTACACTGTTACTACACGGCAGGCCCAGTTAAAACTGGCACTTGTATAATCAATCAATCAACTGCTGTCAAGTCCCTTACAAGAGATTAAGGACTGGAGAAAAATACAGAAACAAGCGGAAAGCCGTTTAGATAAAAATCACTATTATGCAAATGTAGTACAATTAGACCTGCTATTGTATTGACAAGAAAAAAAATAAATCTTAGGGTGACCTATGTTTAGGGTCAATATTTTTCTGATTCACAACCTTAATGAAAGCAAGAAAAATAACATATTGCAAATCCTTTTGGACGTGGGGCCAATAGCCAGGCTGCTAGATGAACCAGTTTACAGTTGCCACACACTTCAATTGACACTTGGTCCTGCTTAGCTTGTCAGAGTGTGCTGCTATGATAAAACATCAGACACTAACCACAAAACGCTCAGCTGAACAAAAATGGCATCAGTTAAGTAAAACCAGTAATCTCAACAAAAACCTTTTTTAAAAAATGAGTTCCAGAGTAAAACAAAATGTAAGGGCTCCACCCTCACGTGACCACAGCCTCCCAACTCAGGGTATATTCATCCAGTATCCGAGCCAAACAGATCAAAGTGGTTTCGGGTTCCGTCTCCAGGCTATGAACTGGGATTGCGATGGCGATGTGGTGTTTCAACCAGCTTCAATTTAACTGATTGAAATGGAAAATTGGACAGGAATCGAACTACGTGGAAGCAGATTGCTGCAGTATTGTACCCTTCTGCCCGTTAAATATTCCTCCAATATTCACCAAACATTGATTTTCTAGTGTTGGCATACGGTGTGGTAAATCAGTAGTATTTTTTGGGGAACAGGAAAACGAAATAAAGACAAAATAGGATTCAAGTTTTCTATAACTTTTTTCAGATATTTGGAACTAGTTCAACAATCCCACCATTTCAGCTCAGAAGTATTAACTGGAAAAAAAAATGTAGCTGTCTCATGATTAAAAGTATTCAGTCTGGTATTATCAATATAGCTTAAAAAAAACGTTTCCAACGTTAAAAGTACACTTAAAAGTTATGCAGTGTAATAACCAATAAATGAACAGCAGTTTTTTCATTCAACGTGGTGTAAATATTTGACCTACCTTTCCTTTCGATGCCATTTTCCAGTCTAATCAAAACAAATTTAGAACATTTTAGTAAAGCAATCACAACAAGGACGTTTGCAATAAAATCACTGTCGACAAAATGTAACTTCAAAAGTTTCATCTTGGTCGTAATTTTACTTTTTTAAAAATAACCCAAATATATAACCTAATTCTGATCTAGACAACCTAACATCTATTCTGTAAAACCGAACAAACAGAAAAATTCTCTACTTTTTTTCTACCATCATTTCCTAGCCCCCGCGCCGCCCCCTTCCCGCCGACGTTTTGTTTTTTAAAATGTATTAGGTATAGTAATAGTGAAGGCATACCACGTAGCCGAACTTTGCAAAGACTTTTCCAGGTTTGTAAGAAAAAACACAGCTCAAATCGAACACCACTGGAAGTGTGAGCTCATACTTTCCAAGTCATACAACCACAGCAGACCACACCCTGCCTGCAGAAATAATGTAACTTGAAGGGCTCAGAACGCTGGGAATTGTAGTTCTATTCACTGAAAGATTTGATAACTTTTCCTTCCAGCATCTCATTTTCCACTTATGAACTCTGCAAGCTTCTAGACTTCATACCAAGTTCATCAATTTCAGGGCTTGAGGCCATGACCTTACCCTAACCCCCACACCAGGCTACCACTGGCAAACCCTTGTCAGCTATTAATAGCCCCCATTCGCAGTTATTTATTCCCCCAGAGTTGGCTTTAACTACTCCTTTGCCGAACTGTTTTTCTCTCACTTTGGGCTCTATCTACACTTATTACTCTTCCCATCTTCTGTATAAATATCATTTTCTTTTAGCTACCATCAGTTCTGAAGAAAGGTCACTGGACCCAAAACATTAACTCTGATTCCTTCCTAGATGCTACCAGACCTGAGCTTTTCCAGCAATTTCTGTTTTTATTTTTGTGGTCTCCTCTTCACCATGGATGTGTGACTCAGGGCTGTCCACTTCTTTCTGGGGAAAAGATCTGAACAGTCCCCACCTACCATCACACTCCCATACCCGGCCAAGCTCATCCTCGCTTTGAACAATTACTTCTTTCATCCCTCTCACTTTCTTCAGATCAAAGGCTTATCTGTGGCTACCTGCATGGGTCCAAGTTATTCCTCTTTGTTTGTGGGATACATGGAACATTGCTTGTTCCAACCGGACTGGGGTCTCTCCCTACAACTCTTTCTCCATACATTGATGACATCATTGGTTCTGCTTCCCTTTCTCATTTGAAATTAGAAAAATTGATCAATTGTACTTCTACTTCCCATTCTGCTGTCATTGTTCATCTGACTCTTCCCTTCCTTGACATCTGATCCCACTGCTGGGATAGGCTGGCCACCAATACCCACTACAAGACCACCGACTCCCACAGTTACCTCAACTATACATCCTCATACCCTACTTCCCATAAAAATTCAATCCCGTTCTCCCGATTTCTCTGTCTCCATCACATCTGTTCTAAGAGGGTCCTCAGAAATGTCCACTTTTTTCCTCAACCAAGGACTCCTCACCACCACAGTTGACAGGGCCCTTAGCCATGTCGGACCCACCTCCTGCATTTCTGCCCTCACCCCTGCTCTGCCCTCCCACAATGCCAATAGGGCCCTCTTTGGTCTTCATTTTCCACTCCATCAGCACCACACCCAAAGGATTATAAGCCACCATTTGCACCACATCCAGCAGGATGCGACCTCCTGTCCCAACCCTTGTCAGAATTCCACAGGGACTGTTCCCTCCGGGACACCCCAGTCCACTCCTCCTCCACTCCAAAAACCTCCCCACACTCTCACAGCACCTCCCCTTGCAGTCACAGAAGGTGTAACACTTGTCCATTTATCTCCTTTCTCCTCACTTCCCATGGTCCCAGACATACCTTCCAGGTGAAGCAGCAATTTACCTGCACTTCACTCAATCTAGTCTACTGTATTTGCTCCTCACAATGTGATCTCCTGTACATTGGGGAGATGAAGTGCAGAATGGGTGACCACTTTGCAGAACACCTGTATTCTGTCCATGAAAATGACACCAGGCCTCCAGTTGCCTGTCACTTCAACACACCATCATGTTCCCGGCAACATCTCTATCTTGGGCTTACTGCAGTGCTCCAGCGAGGTCAGTGCAAGCGGGAAGAACAGCACTTCATTTTCCATATGGAACCCTGCAGCCTTCAAGACCTGATATCGAGTTCAATAATTTTAGAGCCTGAACATCTTCTTCCATATCCTTTACCCAGCCCCACACTCCAGGCCCTGTTATGTCATGGGCTGCTTTCAGCACAGCCAACCCATTTTCACTTACTCATGGTCCCTATTATCAACTTTTCTTCTTCCCTGTCTTGCTATCGACCATCCTTTGTCTACCTAGCTTTCTTTCTGTGTCTCTGGGCTCCATCTCCACCCATCTGTTCATTCCTGCTTCATCCCACCCTGCCTCAACACACCCCCTGCCCACAGTTAGTAGAATAAACATTACATTCTCCTAGCTACTATCAGTTCTGAAGAAGAGTCACTGGACTCAAAACATGAACTCTGCTTTATCTCCAGAGATGCTTCTAGACCTGCTGAGTTTCTCCACCAATTTCTCTTTTTTTTTCAGATTGTCAACGTTTGCAGTTCTTTGTTTTATTATATAATTACGATGCTGCCAATCATTCCATCATCAGCAAAGTTGGTTATCTGGCTTTCTATTCCATTATCTAAACTGTTAACAGAAATATTTCTGGGAAGCACAACGTTAATCTTGTCATGCCAATTGATGTATCTGCCTGTTACTACCGCTGTCTCCAGCCACTTAAACAAGTTTCTGAACAGGTCAATAACTTGCCTTCAATTCCATGCGGTTCAACTTTATCTAACAGAGATAAGGAACTTCATCAAATGCCTTCCAGAAATCTATAAAAATCCATAATAAATGATATCCGTAAATAATCCCCTGACCACTACTTGAGTTAAAAAAAACATTCATTCTCTCACCAAGAAGGGAGGAGACAGAAAGCAGGAAAGTATAGGGTAATTAGCTCAACATTTGTCATTGGGAAAATACTAGTGATTATTATTAGGGAAGAATGGCATGACATTGCAAAAAGCTTAGCACAATTAAACAGAATCAACATGGTTTGTGAAATTGTAATTATGTTTGACAAATTACATCTGTATTCACAATAGAGAAGAATGAGGTAGATATACAAATTAAGGGAGTAATATATTGAATAAATTATATTTGAGAAGAAGCAGGAGTTAATGCTTTTAGTGAGCTTAAAATTGGAGAAATCCCCAGGCCCAGATAAGGTGTGTCTCAGTCTGCTGTAGAAGTTAAGGAGGAATTTAGAGGCGCTCTGACATTAATTTTCCAGAGGCCTGGAAGACAACTAATGGAGTGCCATTGTTCAAGATGGGTAGTAGGGATAAACTAGGGAACCATAAGCCAGTGAGTCTAACATCAGTGGCAGGGTAATTGTTGGAAGAAAAGTTCTGAAGGACAAAATTAATCTCCATTTGGAGAGGCAAGGATCAGTCAAGGAAATTCAGCGTGGTTGTGTCTGGGAGAAAACATATCTAATAGGTTTGATTAAGTTTTTTGCAAGCGTAAGGATTCTGGATAATCCAAAATGGAGGACCAGAGAAAATTGTAGCTGTAAGATCTGCACTTTTTTGAAGGTTTTTTTCAGTTTTGGAGCTGATTTTCTCCTTTTTGGAGCTGTTTTATAAGCTATCGTATTGTTTTGGAACTTTGGAAAAAGAAGATCAATACAAGGTAGGGAGTAGGGACCACGTTGGAGTGAAAAAAAGGATCAGTGAACCTGCATGGCTGTCTGACCAGGCAGTGTATTTTCACAGCTGTCTGCCTATGCTGTTTCATTTGAAGTATCTCTGGACATGGGAGTTGTTCTAAGAAAAATAAACAAACAGCAAAATTCACAGCTGACCTTGGAGAAACTCAGTATCTGGAGCTCCTCACAGCAGGGCAACAGCTAAGTGGTTTATTAAATCTAATCATACTTTGTTTGTTGTTAAATTTGTAACTATGAGTAGGGTAATTTTTTTTATATGTTTTATTGAGATCTGTCTCTAGATTAAACTGTTTTATAGATGTAAAACATAGGTACCAAGTTACCCTAGAGTAGTAAGACTGTGCTATTGTCAGGGCCTGTAGATTGTTAAGGTGCAAAGATGACCTTTAGTAGAGTGATGTGCTCTTCCTGTCGAATGTGGGAGATCAGGGAAAATTTCAACGTTACTGATGATTATGTCTGCTGGAAGTATGTTTGGTTGCAAATCCTATTGGATCACATGAATAGGTTGGAGTGGCTGTTAGAGGCAATAAGGCATTAACAGGAGCTACAGAGTGTGATGGCTGGCAGGAAGGTAGAAAAAACTGCAGATATAGCCAGGTGGATGGGTTACCTCTGGGAAAGGTAGGAAGGGTAGGCGGGTAGTGCAGGAGTCTCCTTTGGCTAGCACCACCTCAAAAAAAGTATGCCATTTTGGAAAATGTAGGGTGTGATGGACTCTCAGGGGAATGTAGCACTGACAGCCATATTTCTGAGACTAGCTCTACTGTAATGAGGCATACACAAGGTTCCAAGAGATTGATTGTGATAGGGGACTCTCTAGTCAGAGGCATAGACAGACGTTTCTGTGGCTGGCAACGGGACATCAGTATGGTGTGTTGCCTTCCTGATGCCAGGGTCAAGGATGTTTCGGAGAGGGTGCAGAGTATTCTCAACGGGGAGAAGGACCAGTAGGAGGTTAATGTACACATTGGAACCAACAACATAGGAAGAGAAAAGGATGAGATTCTGAGGAGAGAATATAGGAAATTAGGCAGGAGTTTAAAAAGGTCCTCGAAGGAAGAAGTATCTGGATTACTCCCGATGCCACATACTAGTGAGAGTAGGAATAAGACGATAGAATGTGTGGCTGAGGAGCTGGTGCAGGGGAGAAGGATACACATTTTTGAATAATTGGAATCTCTGTTGGGGTGCAAGTGACCTGTATAAGAAGGACAGATTACACCTGAATTGGAAGGGGACTAATATACTGGTGGGGAGATTTGCTAGAGCCATCAGGGAGGATTTAAACTAGTAAGGGGCGGGGGGATGGAATCCAGAGAGGTAGTGAGAAAAGAGATCAGTCTGAGGCTGGTGCAGTTGGGAAGAGGAGCAGGTCAAATAGTCTAGGCAGGCTGGAACAGAGAACAGAGCGAGGCAGGACTGATAAATTAAACTGCATTTATTTCAATGCAAGAGGGCTGACAGGCAAGGCAGATGAATTCGGGGCATGGTAGGGAACATGGGACTGGGATATTATGGCTATTGCAGAGACGTGGCTCAGGATGGACAGGACTAGCAGCTTTATGTTCTAGGGTATAGATTCCATAGGAAGGATAGAAAGGGGAGGTAAGAGAGGAGGGGGAGTGGCGTTTTTGATTAGGGATAACATTACAGCTGTAGAAGATATTCCTGGGAGTACGTCCAGTGAAGTTATTTGGCTGGAACTGAGAAAAGAGAAAGGGATGATCACCTTATTGGGATTATACTATAGACC